CCCCAAAACCCCAAAACCCCAAAACCCCAAAACCCCATTAAAATGTTTTAGATTAAAATTTTTCTAGAAGGAAATAATAATTTAAATATGTCCCAATCTCAAAAGATTAGCCTGTACAAGCTAAAGTTCCGAATAATTTACTGATCAGGAGAAGACCCTGAATTCCCGGTTACAGAGCTACTAGAGAACAGCCCTCAGAGTAGAGGATGGCTTAGTCCGAAATTTTGTGAATATCCTCAGGAGATAATTATCCAGTTCTCAAATCCTTCGCGGTTGAGGCAAATACAGTTCCTTTCACATCAATCAAAAATAGCATCAAAGATAGAGCTGTTCACGTTTATCCCCACTGGAGAGCAGGCGATGACCTCACAGATCCCTTTGAACGAGGTGAAGTTCAACAGGTTGGGCTATCTCTCGCTTGAATCAAATGAGAAATCAGGGTTCCAAGCACGTGAGTTAAAAAGTGTCTATGTCGATGCCTTCTCTCTATTGCTCAAAGTAGTCCTTCACAAGTGCCATGTGAACAAGTATAATCTCTACAACCAAGTTGGGCTTATCGCCGTCAATTGAATGGGAGAGATCAGCAAGGCGAAGGAATCAGTTACCGATAAAGACCTCCCATCTTTTGAAGATATGATGCAGCTTGATGAAGTCAGCCTCGAACGAGTCAAAGAGCTTAAGAAAGCTAAAGATAGAGCTATTAAAATGGAGGATTATGACGCAGCGAAGAAGTATAAGCAGATGATAGAACGCCTCAAAAGTATGGGAACACACCTTGCGCAACTTGAGGAAAGAAAGAAAATTGCAATAGAAAATGAGGATTTTGATGCAGCAAAAATCATTAAGACTGAAATTGATAGACTCAGAGCAACAGCAGTTGATCCAGCATTTAATCATGGCCCTTATTCTGATCAACCTAAGCCAAGTGAGGCTAAAAGACCATTCTCTGGTGGCCCAGATGCTCCAATGGCTGAACAAATGCCACCTCCCAGAAAACCAAAAGGGATGGGAATGGGAATTGAAGAAGGCATGGATAAAATGGCAATTAACGATCCTCCTCCTAGAAAGGGCCCTGCTTTGCCACTTAATAACAAAAAGGACTTATTTGGACCAGGTCCTGGTAAACCTCCTGGCAAAGGACTATCATTTCCAGCTTCAGATAAATTTCATGAAGAAGAAAAGAAAATGGCAATGCCAATAGAACCACAAATTCCTCAAAATATTGATGACCAAGTTATCCCAGCAGCAAGAGCAAAGGCAGCTCCAAATGAAGGAGGAATTATTCCTGGAGAAGAAAAGCAGCAAACAGAAGCAGAAGATATCGTAGGGGATAATGTACGAATTGCTCAACCTCTAATCCCAACTTTCGGAGAAAGCACCATCAAGAAACTCTTTTCAAATAATTGGGCTAACAGAGAGAATGCCGTAATTGAAGCTCTTGATATTTTTAACTCTAATCCTGATCCAGATGCTGTAACCGCTGCTTTAGGAGTAGCTGCACAAGGAATCAAAGATAAAATTGGACAAGTTGTTCTCAAGACTTGTGACTTAATCAACAATATTCTGGCAGCATACCAAGAGCCAGCTCCCTCAGATGCAAAATTCTATATTGAAGAAATAGTGTCCAACATTGCTAACAGAGTAGGAGATAACAACGGGAGGATAAGAGAGAAAGCCTTTGAAATAGGAGTTGAGATGGCAGCTCATCCTATGGCAGGCCATAGCATGATGATTACTCAAATTACCAGGGCCCCTGCAGGGAAAAGGTCTGCAGCCCAATCTGTGAGACAGCAAGCTGGGAAGTACAAGCTCTTGTATGAAGTATTGGTCAACACTCCTGTGACTAAGCCTACTGAGCAAAGAAGTGTTGCAACCTTCAGTGTCGCTGGATTCAAGAACTCCAATAAAGAAATTAGAGAGAATGCATATAATTGTATCATCGAACTTTATAGAGTAATGGGATCCTCCATGAAAAAGTTCTTGGATGATCTCAGGCCAGCTCAAGTAGAGCTTCTAGAAAAAGGATTCAACGAGGTTGATGGAATTGACCCAGACCAAGACTTTGGAGAAGCAGCTCCTAAGGTCACAGTTGAAACTAATATAACTCCATTTGGAGCTAAAGAAGCAAAATCCAAAGCCCATGATGCACCTGGAGATGGAGATTTAGATATGCTCGGAGAGTCACCAAGTAAATTTGAAAGTAGCTTCAAAGCAGACAATGACAATATGTGCCAGTTCTGAGGAAAATATGAACTTGGATGGAATCAAGAAGAACTTGATATGCATTTCTGGAGTGATTGTGCAATGTTGACACCATGATTTGGTTGAAACCAAATCTTAGAAATATCTGGATTGAATGAGCATTTATTAACTGAATGAAATAACAAAGATAGTTTCCAGCAATGCCCTAAATGACAAGAGCCTATCCCGATTGATGATTATGATTATCACGTTGAAGAAGGATTATGAAATCCTGCTCAGGATCCTAATGAAGCAAACAGATGTCCACTATGTCATGATGACATTTACCCAGCAGGAGAAGATGGATGGAAGCAACATCTCCTTATAGACACTTGTCCAAACAATGAAAGGCATCCTTAATTGAAAATAAATTCGTGCAAATTACAATTAATTCAATTTTTATTTCTCAAAAGGGGTTTTGGGGTTTTGGGGTTTTGGGGTTTTGGGGTTTTGGGGTTTTGGGG